TCTCAATGTATCCACAAGCAATTAATAATATTGATCACCCTATATTGACTTTGTGAGTGAATAACTGCTTTTTTTTCCTCTTGATTTCCCTTGATGAATTGTGTTTTCGAAACGCCAACATATAGTTTTGTTAAGCTGTCAGTTTGCAGGGCCTATGGACACTGAAATGTACTCTAGCACTTGCTGGTACAGCAACTTTTTTAGGATCAATAGGAATACTTGTACCCATGCTGAGGAATAAAATGTCCTTTTTAATAAAGTTTGACACAGAGGAAGCCTTTGAAACACTCTAAAATCTGCACAGATTTCTGTGTATTAATCAAATTATGTTAGAGCCATTTAGGATATGTGGATAAAGATTTGGTGTTTGTTGCCCTGGGTGATGTCCCTGGTACAAGGCAGAGTGGTTTGTGGCTCTCATCACTCATTCTGATAGCAAACTCAGAATAGAGATCTCTCTCAAATCTGCTGCCAAGTTCATTTTGTTGCTAATTATGTTTTTCTTTAGATAGGCTGGAGAAAATGAGAATTTGCTTTGTTTGCAGAATCTGAATCATAGTAATCTTTGCAGTAAGACCATCGTCACTGCATCTGGTACTTGGAAAGAAATGGGTTAAGAGATAAAAACTGCAGTTATGGAATCACAAAACAGCCCAAGTTAGATGGAACCTTGAAAGATCATCAGCTCCATGCTTTCACAGGAAATGGGAACATCATTGAGATTACCTAGCACCCTCTTCTGTTGCACGTTGATACTGTATGCTTCCCTCTCTCAGGGCCTTTATTTAGTAAAAACCTGTGTTTGGTATTATGTTAACTGTTATATGCCTTTTTCTTTGCAAGGGTTGGTTAGTTAGGGTTTTGCATGGAACTTCGCTCTTAGGAGAGATCCATAACCACTCTTGAGAGGTAGGGGGGACCCAAAAGTCACAATCATAGAGTTAAAATGGGCCAGAGCCATCTTGCTCAAGTGTGACATTACACTTACTTTTAAACTGTCACCTATTTTCTTCATCTAATAATTAAATTTTTACCAAATTCTTCTCAATCTTCTCAAAAACCTTGGATAGGATACCAAATAGATGATTAGAACAATCATCTTCTCATCCAGGGGGACTGTAGAGGCCTTCTTGCTCTAGGTATTCTAGATAGTACTGTCCTTCAACAAATGAAATAATTTAGGTCTAGTTACCTTTTATTTGTAGTCTGCCCTGTTTACCTAATCCTCATCTTGTTAACATTATCTTCATAATGAATAAACAATGATGTTCTTGTTTTGTATGACATTTTTTCTCTTAAAATTCTGTGGTACTATGTACCCGTATGCTCATGTGCAATCTTCTACAATGAAATTTTCTGTTGATATCCCTGCCGGAATAATTACAATGACTGCAGAGGTGGGAAAAACATTATTTGCTGAATTTTCTCCTGCCAAAATCTCTGAAATGTTCTCTGCAGCAGAGAATGGAAAAAAATCTGAAATGTCTTGGAGTGGCACTGCCGGCCTAGTGACTAGCATCACTACAAAAAGCTTTGCAGAACTGTATTACCCAAAAGACAAAGAGCTAGGGAGTTTTGGGGAAGAAATACCTCTTCAGTTTTCTTACATCAGCATTGAAGTCCGTTGGCAGAGCAGTATGTGGGGGAAAAACTTGTTGATAATTTCACTGCTCTCTTCATACAGGAAATAGGGCATATTGTCATGTGATGACAACTACCAGCACTGCTCTCCATCACTGACTTGATGCCCCATAAATGCTTGTATCCAGCCCCCTCCCCTTGGACAACTGGCATCATCTTAAGACTTCTTATATTCGTAAAAAGCATCTTGACAAACCATTCAAACACTGCCTCTTCCCTGCCTTTGTACTTGTTTATTCCCTACTCGTTGTGTCTTTAGCTAATGCAGATTATTGCGAAATCCATTTAAAAAGCAGAGCAGTTTTATACTGAAAGATATCTAGAGGGCAGCAAATCCAGAGGGAAATCTCATCCTTCAGTGCAAACAAAACCTCCTCTTCTATTTTATTTCTGAAAAAATCAAGCACAGTTATGTAAAACCTCTACACAAAACAGCGGTAGTAAGATATCTCTATAAGGCTGAGCTATGAACATACCTAAGAGCGAACTTGTAATTTGATTAATGGTTACGGTGGTGGGCAAGGACTCTGAAGTTCAGGTATGAGTTATGAAGAAACTGCTCTGCCATCTAAAATCGCATCTGGAAGCAAATGTATTTTTAGCATAGCGCTGTGTGGTGTGGAATGTTCCTGAGTTATTTGTTCATAATCATAGTGATTGTGGAGGATATATTTAATAATAATTTGATATTTAATTTGATACTAGATGGTGCTTCTGTTTGCAGTTCTGGCACTCTTCATGTTTTGTTCAAGTTGTGTCTGGCTAAACTGTAGATGGCATCCAATTAACTATTAGCAATGAAGTCAAGCCTTCAGTCCATCTTGCCTTACTCTATGCTGCATTCTTCAGCATGTTTTGAAACACTTTAAGAAGCATTTCTACAACTACACTTACTGAATTTCACCACCAACGTTTAGTGCACGTAGTAACTGAGCTGTTAGAAACCTTCTTCTTGCTTTTCTTACATTTTGTGTTTGGTGTTTCGGTTTTGTACTTGGTCACAAATCACAGAATGGCTTGCGCTGTAAGGGAACACTATCCAGTTCCAATCCCCCTACTGTGGTTGCATTTGCCACCCACAGGTGCCCAGGGCCCTATTCAACTGGGATGGGCTTTCATGGCTTCTCTGGGCTGCCTGTGCCAGGGCCCCACCACTCTTGTATGGTAACCAAAAGAAATTCTTTACTATCTCCTCTCTGCTAGTTACTATTACTTTTTCCCTCAATTTGAGAGTGGACTTGTGCATGGTCTGAGTTGTGAGCATAGAGATTGCTCCAGGTCTAAGGGACCCAGAGAAGCACTGCAGAGCTCTGAAGCCTTGTTTGTGTTCCAGGATGCTGGAAGGCCTTGGGGAACTCTCCCTTGCCTTGGTTTCTGAATCTACAAAATGGGGTTAGTGAACTGTATCTGATGTTTGCTTTTACATTTCATCTACTGATGAAAAACGTGATATGAGATCTGTGGGCAATCATTATTACCAAGGGAAAATGAATTTGCATTGAAATAGGATGGAATGCATACAAGAGAAAGGAGGATTGGGTCTGCATAATGAGATTTTAGCTGGAGACTGTGCCTGAAATGGGAAGTATTTATGGGGTACTCTGTAAGCATCTGTGGCAAAGGCTACACCAGAGCACAGGCAATTTCCTTCTAATTGCGTTTCTTTTGATGTGCAAACTCCTTTACCTGTTTCATCCACCTGGTGATTTCGCACAGCTAGCATTATGATGCACTGAAAATTATTTTTGTCACTGAAGTAGTTGTTACTGAATGTGCAAAAAGCAGTGTAACTTCCTTAATGATTTCTATCTCTGAATGTCCAGATGTTTCTTCAGAAAGAGGATGTTCCCTTTCTTCCTGTAGGTTTACCATGGTTTTCCTTCCTTCAGAAAGCTGCTCACAATGTGACTGCTCAGTGGTTTTCCAGCATGGCTGCAAGGTGAGAGGTGCTGGTTCAGAACGAAGCACTGTAGGAACTGACTGTCCTGTCACTACTTAATGATCATAGAACTACTTTCTAATGTTTTTTTCTTTCTCTTCTGGAAGAGAGAAATCTGGAATCAGAACAGCATTTCTGTGCCTCAGACACACTCCATGTGATGCAGGGACTGACTCAGGTCCCTGCACTCAGGAGGCTTTCAGGGTGTGCCAGTCAGGGTGATAAAAGGCCTGTGTGCCTTCCACCCACAGGTACATCTGCACCCAGGGAGGTTCATCTGTTCTGGACTCCTATGATGTTTGCTTGAAAACCTTGCACAGCCTTGGGTTTCAGAGATTAAATATAAGCACCATTTGCAACTGCTTAAATCTGAACTGAACTTGAAATTTATGTTCAGTCCAGTAATGACTGTAGCTGCTGTTAAATTGCTCCATTAACTATAAAGCAAAGTTTAAACTACTGTGTTTCACTTTCATGAAGTGCTTCTAAGCACTAGTAATGTTCCCTTCATCGAGTTCCTACAACTTTACAGGAAGTTAAAGCTTTATCCTGAACAGAAGGAAAGATCTTAAAATTAAAGCCCCTGTGAAAGCAATGAAAAGATGAGGTGGAGAGAGAGGAGAAAGGATTAATGTTACCAGGAAGAATTAGGAGGAAATGGAGCATCTTGCCACTTTGCTTTTTCCAAATACCCGGTGTGGTCAAAGAACTCTACTAAGCTGATTGCCTCAAGCACTCATGGAAAAGAGAACAAGTGCAATCCCAAAAGGCAATTGCTTCTTTGTTCTGATAAAATTTTTCAGTTTATAATGTGGAGTTAATTACCTATTTTTTCTCTCCCTTTTTTTCTTGTAATATTCCTTCAAGTGGGTTTGTTATCTTTCAGGGCAGTTGCTCCATCCATACAGCAATTGCCAGATGATTACCTCTTTAATGTTTTCACTGAGTACTTTGCTGGTTAACCTCCTTAACTGGAGAGCTGCTTATTGATATTTATGTCTTGTCAGCACAGAGGTTCATTAAGCATTGGTAAATGACATGTTTTCATATCTGCTGACACTAGAAATGCAATATGATCAATTGCAAATTGGCTTTAGTGCAGTAATAGAGTGCATTTTACACACTTCAGTGCATCATTCATACAAGCAGAGCTAGAATTGTTATGGCTGTTTATGTCTGCCTAATATCCCAGTATAAATTCTTCCAAGTCAAGGAATTCTCAGTGCAAGCAAGGCACATATCCCAGGTCAGCTCCTGACTAGTGGTTTTTAAAAGGCAGGAGGGGGGAAGGTGGCAAAAAGGCCCCAGATTTCTACCAGGAGGAGTCTTTTGCAGGGGGCTGCTTGGCTGCTCTCCCTGACACGACATCTCTATCAGTCTCTCTTCACCTCCCTTTTTCTATCTGGTCTTTCTCCATCAGGAAGGCAACACAATCATGCCTACAACTCAGGCTGGGAGTAGTGAGCTCCAGCTCCTGTACCGAAGGCCAACAAAACAGTGACTGTGTCCCCAAAGGGTGCCTTGTGGTTGTAGGTAAGAGTTTTGTTGAATGTCCTAACTTTGAGTAAAAGCCCTCATCAAAAAACATCACTGGGTTCCAGTTTAACAGAACACTATAAAAAGAAAGGTGCGAATGCAGAAAGTAGCCTGGGAGCATCCAGTGTTGATTTCCTGTCAGGATGCGTCTTCCAGAGAGGTAGATCTATTAATTTTTTAATTTTGTGCTACAAATCATGGCATGCCTGAGATTTCTCACTAGGAACTGACTAAAAGCAGAGAGGATTGACGTGCATTAAGTTCATTTTCTAGTATTGGGGGAGAAAGATAATGGCTTGTGTTAGTTGTGGTTTTTTTTGTTTTTTTTTTTGAAAGAAAGTAAGAGCTTTCCATTGTTTTAACAGAGAAGATTAGGTTATCAAAAAAATATGCAAAACTCAAAACTTCTTAATGTTCATCTAAAGCAACCTGGCTCTTAACTTCAGCTTTGCTTCTGCTGGAGTACTTGGAACTTACTCTGTGCTTTATGCTGCGTGTAACTTCTTTTTGTTTTATGAAAACGGGTTGCCTCTTCTGTACAGAGAAGTGTCAGCTTCTGATCTAACCTGTTTTGTTGGTGACCTTCTGAAAAAATCTGAGAACTGTAGTCTTTCTGGCTATAATCACTCTTACTGAATGTACAGAATGTTCTCTTATTTGCAGTTTATCTGCTGCATGTGCCTGCCTGTGCTCTGCAGGTCAAACCCTGTAAAATAGCATTGTTTCAGCACTGTGAAGAACAGAATGGCAAATTAATATTATAGCTCCATAATGAAATAGCTCTCACATAAGATTCCAATATCTGTATTTTACAATGATGCAATAGTACTGATTTATCATTGATATCCATAATGCTGAACCAATAGTGATGGACTTCCTAGGAGAGGAGTGATGGGGTTCGTGCTGAAGCACAGAGTCAGACAGCTGAAGGCAAATACCATCTCAAGTTTAAGATTATTAGGTTTAGTAGGTGGCAGAGACAGTGATTTCAGTGTGAGTCATAAACACGCTGAATATTCCTGCACCTTGCTTGCCTCTCCATCATTTTTTTTTTTTTTTTTTTAGCTCAGTGGAAGGCTACATCCTGCCCTGTGGCAAGCTAAAGTGCTCTGACAGCAGTTTGGTCTGTTCATCAGCTTGGCATGGAAGGTGGCACAGGAAGAGCTGCAACTAGGGCTGGCTGAACAAAGGTCTTTGCTCTGGAGTCTCCCACCTGATTTATTTAACCCAGGATGCAGTAATTCATCAGGATTGTGATTCTTTCCAGTTAGCATTTACATAAATGGGAGCAAGTTCAAACCAGGTGTATGGTCAGCATTATCTCCAGCAGACCTGTTCTCCAGCATTGCAGCACTGGCAGCATCATCAAATTAATTGAGGCTTGCTGTATGTAGCCCTCATTTTTTGAGGCTTTATAGCATTGTTATAAAACATCACGCTACAATGCAACTGATCATGTGACTGCTTCTTCCTTAAAGAGATTTAAGTTACGCTCTGACAACAGGAAATCTCCTGAATAAAAGACAGAAGGAGGGAAGGGTGAGCAGCTTTTCTAATTGGAGTTGGTGGGACGGCTCCAAGCACACAGCAGTTTTACTTTCAAGAAAAAGAATTTAATTCAGAAAATCAGTTAGGGCCAGCTGATGCATCAGCCTTCAGCCATGTTGATATATTTCCATAATTGTCATTTGCTGGATATCTTTACACATGTGTTTGTCTGTAAATAGTGTGTCTAAAGAAGATATATTTTTTAAAAAAGGAGAAAAAGTACTTATCAGTCAGTAAATTGGAATTGTTCTTTGAAGAGAACAGTAAGAGTTATTACAGAGTTTAGTAAGAAGAAGAACAAAGGAGCTGTCGAAGATGGCTTAGCAAAGGGTGTTTTGGTTCTGCTAAATCCCTGGCAGTTTAACCAAGTTCAGCTTGTGCACAGAAGTGTGAGCAACATATGGAAGGAGGAATGGAAAGCTGGTGTTTGTGTTTTCAGAACATGTATTTATTTTATTATCCACTGGAAGGGGTAGTATGTAAAACACAGGATGCGCTGAGAAAGTAATAACCAAACTGAGATTATGGAGAGTTCTTAACATATGTTTTTTTTATTTTTTAAAAGCAGTTAAAATGAAGTTTTGTTTCAAAAAGCCACCTGGAAAGTGTCTGATAGTTAATTTATAGGTATCACTAATATTGAATAATGATGTCCACTGTCAATTGCAAGAAAACAAGATTCCAAAGATTTTTAAGCTGATTTCTAAAAATCTGTCAGATCTGTCAAGGCCAGATGTTCTCAGAGATACCACTAATTCAGTATCTGCTGTCTCTGGCCATCTGAAAGCAGGGCCCCTGCCAGGCTGTAACATAAGGATGTCCCTTTCCTCCGGCTGCCTCTGAGCAACCACCCATGTGATGCAGTGCAGAAACAACAGCTAAGAGTGGGGGCCAAAGATGTGTCACATGAGCTCCATCCCTGGCTTGGTGTGCATGTTCACAGGATGCTGCCAGTCCCCAGAGAGAGCCTGGGTTGGGCAAGATTGCTGCTCCAGACATGTGCAGGATGGCTCTGGGCAAGAGGCTGCAGTCCTGTTCATTACAGCTCCTCTGCCTTGGACTGGAATTTGAATTTCAAATCTACGTATATCTACCAGGATGAGGGGGGGAAGAAAAATGACCAGAAATACCAAAATGGATGCTTTTTCATTAAGTATGGAGCTATTGCCTGTCTAGACTGAAGAAAGATTTTTTGTATTCACACTATAAGTTTTAATGAAGTTAAAGGTTTGCACTCATGCTGTCTAGCCATTCCCTGGTTAGTTCTATGAAAACATTCACCTTGACATTTTGACAACTTTTTTTTCCCTTTCTTTTAATCTCTCATTTAAAATTGTTTTCATTGTCTGTGGTTTAGCAACTCCCTTGGTCTCTTTACACAGGCGAGGCCCTTTGAAGAGCAGCAGCTCAGTGAGCCCCGCGGCAGCTCCCGACACCACCTTGAACTCTCAGTCCGAGCTGAGCTCCTGCCTCAGATACTGTGCCAACCTGCCACCAGGTTTTGCAGACAGCAATGCAAAACTTGCTTTCAGCCTTCCACAACGTGCTTGTGGGAACATGCTGATACCTTCCCAGCTTGCAGTGCAAGGTGGCTGGTAGAGGATGGAGTCCTCACTGACTGTAGTGCCCAGGGCAAGTTGCTCTTGTCCCTCCTGCTACGTACACACATGGACACTTTGCCTCTCCAAAATCTGCTCATAGTTCCAACACTGGGAGCCCTAGGCAGTTTCCTGTTTCGGGACAAAACTGTAGAGCGTGAGGATGCTCTGGTCCTTCCATGCATTGGCTTGGAGTCTGAGTTTGGTGTCACCATAGAAGAGAAATGCCCTCAATCATCGAATCACTTAATACAAGACTTAACCTCTCTCCTTCAACTTTCCGAAGGCATTTAGGCAGAAACATGTGCAAGTGTTTTAGGTTATAAGGGGTGCAGTTAGTGCTGCAAAAGTTGTGCTGGTACCTTTCCACAGCTCAAAACTCAATCCTTGAAAATCTGAGCCTTTGTGTTACCAATCTATTTCTGCTCAAGTGGTTTTCTCTGCAGAACAGCTCTGGTTATTGATTTGTTGGAGTGCACAAGCTACTGAGGCCGGGCATTAGGGTGGCAATGGCAGCACTATGATAGACAAGCAGAGAGAGAAACTGTAAATGTGTTTCTGGGGAGATGGTAGAATTCATGACTCTGCTGTCTGGAGAAAAGAAAAACCCTCACTTCTTTATCCTTATACAACCCGCCTTAGGACTGCATTGTGTCAAGGAATTGCTGTTCCAGACCTACAGATTGCATGAAATTGGTCTTAGAATTTTTTTTCTGGGAAGAGGGAAAGTGAATGGTCTGTGTACTGTGGGGAAGCAGAGAAAAAGCTGTAATGTTCCTACGGACCAGATGCCAATGGGCAATTGCAAGTTCTGTCACTTCTTCCAAGCACTGTCCAGCACATGAAGGGTTGGGTGATGAGAGTGAACCACTTGGTTTCAGTTTTGGGAGGTCAGAACGGGAGTGAAGGCTCACTCCCTCTGGCCAAAGATGACTTTCTATCTCAGCATGAACCAGGAACTAAGAACAGTGATGAAATTTTACAAGTGAAGGCTATCCAAAAATATAAAAGGTTCTGCCTCATTTAAGACTGAGGGGAAAAGAAGGTTGGGACTGAATTTTTAATATTGTTTGGGAATCCAGGTCCCTCAGACAGGCAGTTTGCATCCTTGTGAGCATGAGGGAGCACTGGGGACAGTGCGTGACCTGGTGTCGCTGGCTCCCTCCTCTCACTGGTGACAATGTGTTTATAGCTGGAACACAGCCCTAATCCTGGGGTGGGGAGAGGCAGCTGGGGACCTGAGGAACCAAACAGACATCAGTTCTGAAAATCTTTTTTCTGAATAGCAAATGTCTCTCTCTTTTTATTTTCTGTTTGTATAAGGTAAACTGCTAAGAATTAATCAAACAATAGCAAATATGAGGATCTGGTATTGGAATTAGGACTTAAAGAAATCTGATGAAGCAAGTAGCATACGGGGCTTGCTTGAGATGAGCATGACAAAGAAATTGGAGATTAGGGAGATACCCTCGGGAATCCTCCAACAGAAGTTCTGCCATTGATTTCTTCTCACACTGAGAAAGAAAAAGCCAGGTCAAGAGACTGACAAGCAGTGTGTGCAGGGAAAAAGAAGCTGCAGTCGGGCAATAATCCCAAATCAAAAGGAGTTCAGAAGAAACAGAAGTACCTAGGCTTGTTTATTTGTAACTGAATTCTGTAAGTGTGGATTTTATTCTCTGAGGATACAACTATATTGATATTTCTAAGAGTAAAGGCTAGAAGGAAAACAACAGAAGAGAAGAATAGGTTACGCAGAGGTATCAATAAATTATTTGCTTTGCCACACAAAAGCAGCAAAAAGCTGTCTGTAAGCATCTTGATAAATTCTGCAGCACTTTGAAGTGCAGCTCTGTGTCTTTTTTTTGTTTCTTTTTTTTTTTAATCTCTCTGAATATTGGTGGTAGGGATTTACTGCTACTAGTAGCAGTTTATTAATATTATAGAAATTGAATATTTTCTTGTATTAGTTTCTTTTGCTCACACTATATTAAAAGGCAAAAATTTAGCCAGCAAACTTTCTTTTTCAACATATTTGGTTTCCATCGATAAGAACATTGACCTTATTTTAAAGGACCTGGACTGGCATTTAAGTTTCTGGTATCTGATTCCTGTCCCTGCCACAAAATTCATATTTGATCTATTTGAATAGATGACATAATTTGTTGTGCCTTGCTTGTCTCTTTGTGAAAGATGACTTCTGGGAACATTGTTTCCCCTAATTTCATTGTCCTAATAATTAAAATCCTTTTTCTAGTTTCCAGAATGGATGTGTTTGTACCAGAAGCTGCTGTATAATTCTGTTTTAATAAGAAGCACCCTCGTTATGCAGAAAAATGCTTAACTCACTACTGGGTGTGGGGCACCCTGACTGTATTACTCCACCCCAGATCCCCAGCCCCTCTGCCTCTTTCAGCTGCAAGAATAACATAGAAGGGTTTGGGTTGGATGGGGCATTTAAGATCATATAGTTGTAACTGCCCTGCTATAGGCAGGGGCACCTCCCGCTACACCAGACTGCTCAAAGCCCCATCCAGCCTGGACTTGAGAGCTTCCAGGGAGGGGGCATCCACAGCCTCTCTGGGCAACCTGTTGCAGTGTCTCACATCCTTCACAGTAAGGATTTAACTGATTAACTGTCTTTTAATTACAAAAAATAATGGCAATAAGCATGCGCAGCCTTCCTTTGTGCAAAGTTGTTTCTGTAGAAGGTGTTCTGTTGTGATTGCTGCTTATATTAAAGCTATGTGTTATTCCCTGAAGGTACTATAAGGACTGGGCTTTCATGTAAGCTATTCCCTTCTTGCTGTGCATGTATTTTACTTAACTATTGCAAATAAAATATATTTACACTTATTGTTCTTGAACAGATATGCTTCAGAGTTTGTTTTTAAGCTGTATCCCTCTACTCTGAACTATTGCATTTCTTTCCAGTGCCAAGGTCACAGACAAAAGGTGTCTCCAATGAAGATTTGACTGTGCGACTGAGCACGCTGCTCATGAAAAGAGATCTGAATGAAACAGGTCAGTGATATTTACGTAATTCTGTTCTTCTGACTTAGGGGCTTTTTTTTTTTTTTTTTTTTTTTTTGTGAGATAGTACAGAGTTCAGGTTCTTAAGAGCTATTTATAGAAAACCTTTTCTAAAGTTTTCCTGAAGTTGGCAAGAGTAAAGCTGGATCCAAGCGTTCTTTAAGCTTGAACAAAATGTTACGTGGAATACCTTGTCTGGTTTTCTGATAATTTAGAGGTACCTAAGGCTTTTTTTTTTTTTTTTTTTTTTTTTTTTTTTTTTTTTTTTTTTAATATT